GGAGGCTCCCCTGGAGCCCTTTTGGGTCGTCTTGGGGGCCTCGTGGGCGGCCTCGGAAATATCTTGGGTCGTCTTGGAGGCACCCTGGTCCATCGTGGCGGCCTTGGTCCCCCAGGCATGTTTCGATTTCGGCCCGAAAGCTAAGGCATGATTTAGTTTTCGGTGTCGAAAACGAAGGCATGTCTTTATTGTCGGGCGGGAAACTAACACAGGTCTCAGTCTTCGGCCCCCGAAACGGGGACCCTTTCAAAACATTTAAACCATGTCAAGGTATTTGAAGACGTCGTATCTTAGTATTTGGTGCTGGAAACCAAGACATGTCTTACTTACCGGACCGGAAACTGAACCAGGTCTTAGTCTTCGGTTCCCGACACTGTGACTTCTCAAGACATTTCAGCACATTCCAAGGCATTTGAAGCTGTCGTGTCTTAGTTTTCGGGGCCAGAAGCTCACGCGTGTCTTCTCGTCTCCGACACTTAAGACATGTTTCAATTTTCGGGCCGACAACTAAGACATGTCTCAGTTTGGGGGCCGAAGAGTAAGACATGTCTGCGTTGTCAGCCCGGAAAACTGCGACATGTATCAGTTTTCGGGCCGAAAACGAAAGACGTGGCTTAGTTCTCGTTTCTGACAACTAAGGCATGTCTCAGCCTTCGGGCCGAAGACTGAGACATGTTGCAGTTTTCGGTCCGAACACGAAGACGTGTCTCACCTTTCGGGCCGAAAAGTATGACATGTTTCAGTTTTCGGGCCTGAAACTAAGACATGTCTTAGCTTTCGGGCCGAAAGCTGACACATGTCTTAGTTTTCGGCTCTGGAAGCTAAGACATGATGTACCCAAATGTTTCTAACTGTTTCTAAATGTTTGTAAATATCGTTACTTGTCGCGAAACGTCGTTCAGAGTGTCTAAGTGTTTCTAGATGTTTCAGAATATCTCTAAATGTCTTGAAATGTCGCTAAAGGTGTAAAGCTGTTTCTGAATGTCTCTGAACGTATCTAAATGCGTGGGGTGGAGGTGCCGGGGCTCGGTGGGGGTCGCGGTGGGGGATGCGGATAGGTTTGAGGCCAAAATCTGTCTTGTGGGGGATCCCAAGAACTGAGATCTCGTGCGGTGGAGGTGCCAGGACGCGGTGATGAGCACGGTGGGGTGTGTGGGTAGGTTTGGAGCCAGAATGCGCTGTGTCGGAGGTCCCAAGAACTGAGCTCTCGTGGGGTGGGGGTGCCGGGATGTGTTTCGGGTCGGAATTGGTCGTTTGGGGGGTCCGAAGAATTGGATTCTCGTTGGGCGAGGGTATCGCGATGTGGTGAGGTGTGGGTCGGTTTCGTGAATTTGTCGTGTGGGAGGTATCAAGTACGGACGTGGAGTCGAGGTGCCGGGACAGGGTGGAGGGCGCGATGGGAGCGCGGGTAGATGTCGGGTCTGAATGTGTCGTGCGGGGGGGCCCGAAGAATTGAACTCTCGTGGGTCGGGGGTGCCGGGACGTGGTGGGGGTCGCGGTAGAGGGTGTGTGTAGGCTTCGATCCAGAAATTGTCGCTCGGAGATGTAGATGGCTGGAAGTTAAGGGAATAGCGGCATCCTGCAAAGTGGTGTTGGATCGAGGCTCCAGGAAACGAGCGGGATTGTTCGTGTGGGGGGTCCCAAGACGTAAGTAGCTGGAAGCCCAGGGAATGGCGGTATTATGCAAAGTGGTTTTGGAACGAGGCCCCAGGAAATGAGCGGGATGGCCGCGGCGGGAGGGAGATTTCGGTCGCATTCTGGTACGCATCCCCTGTTACCAGGGAGGAGGTCGAGAGGTCTTGGAGCTAAGTTGTCTGGTTGCCCCTCGGGTCCTTCTTCAAGATGGCCTCGCGAGGTCGCGAAGACAGCAGCGCGTCGCAGGGCGCGTCACGCGAAACCACGTGATTCAGTACATGTGGATCTGCAGTGGTCACGATTATTGGCAACCCGTCGTTCTTATCGGTCGCAGGGTTTCATTTTTTTCAGAGGAGGATTACGTAGTTAACCGTAGCGCTACCCTTCTCTCGTTTTCGTTTTTTTTCGCGTCTCCTGGGGACCCTCGTCGCCACCGCTGGATTCGCGTCGAAATTCTGGTCAGAACGCACCCGGGGAGCAGTATCGGTGCCTGTCGGTTTCCCCAAACACGTCGTTCTTATCGGTCGCAGGGTTCCAGGTCTGCCCGAATTCAGCACAAATCTGATCGAACATACCTCTTCACGCGTTAACGGCTTGGTGTGTTCGGATCACGCGTGTTGTTCTTGTGCTCCATACAAAAGAAGACATCTCGCTCACGCCCAGCTTTCACCGCCGTCAGCATCTACTGCGACGACAAGGGTGTTGCAAAGGAGCTAGAAGAGAACACAAGAGCGGCAGGTCTGGTACAGGCTTGCGGGTATCCCGCGCAGACGTTCCGCGGGGACATTTTCATAGGGAAAGTGTTCGACGACACCGAGGACGAGTGGAGACGGGTAGACTTCACACTGAAGGACTTCTGTTTATAAATCATCAGACCAGCGGACTCGGTAACCTCTCCCCATCTAGCTTGGCGTTGTAGAATTGGGGAATTCGAAATACGGCTAGGAATGTGTGACATGGTGATGGTGATGGTGTTGGGTGGCCATTGCATACGCTTCTCGATGCCCGTGTGCGCCATCCTGGCGCAGGGGGCCATGCTAATCTTCCTATGTCGCTCAGTGTTAATGGATGGCTCCATTAACATTGTCATCGCATCTCTTGTCCTTGTTCCCTCGAGTTGTCGTTGCAGCCGAGTCGTTGCATGTTCTTCTTCCCACGCTGGGGACGACAGGCCCTCGTTCGATGGCCAGCGTGCCTCGCACGCCTGCGCTCGCCGTGACGGCACCGCCCTCCGGGGGCGATGGCAGTTGTGGGTGTCTGTTTTGGTTGGCCAGCTACCGCTGCCTTGCGGGCTCTGAGGGGTTGCTGGTTGCCTGTGCGGTCGTACTGCTCGTTCCTTCGACGTTTCGCAGGAGATGAATATTTTTGTTTCAGCCGTGCGATGTGTACGTCAATGGCTCGGGGCCGATGAATGACTTACCTGATCGTGGTGGTAGCGGCCGCACAGGTAGTCACCACCTTCTTCCTTGGAATTCTGTTCTGCCCGGCATTCTTGGAATTTGTAAAGATTGTTGTTTGCAGTCGGTGTTTGAAGAACGTGATTCGAGCTATCACCCGACAATGTTTTCCTGCCCAGTTAATTTGCAGTCTTCGCCCACAGTTGAGATGATGTGGTTCTCCCAGGATGCTTTTGCATCCTTGCCTGTCTGGCCCATCCTTAGTACCCAACGCTCACTGTAAGTAGACAGTTCGGACTCCCAGATCCCGAACTAAGTTTTGCGCCTTTCTATTTGGATAATCGCATGGCTTATCTCGTTCCTATCTTGTCAGAAGGCGAGCGGCAGCTCTACGCGCTGCTCTTACTCATTTCCTCCGAACGGTGGGTATCACATGTCGTGGTCCTCTTGGGAGTTGCAGTCATCTCTTGGGGACAGTTCGTCACATCGGATCCGTGTTGATGGTCCCCGGGCCCTGGAGCCGAGAGATTGAGGAGAAGCGCCTCGGTTCGATGGATGTTTGGGCTTGCTTGCGTCCTATCGGATGGAGAGTGTTCTTTTATCCTCTGGGTCATAACGCGCGTTATGCCCTCTATTCTCCCCCCCTCCCCCCCGACAACGTATGCCTGGGCAGCTCCGCTTAGATGGGGCTTGGTTTAATGCTCGCTCAGGCTGCCTTAGTATCTCTCAGCGTCGCCCTCGGTCTATCGGTTGGCTTCGCCAAGTCCGCGCTGTTGCAACAGCTAAGGTCAGTGGTTGGGGGTACTGCTTCGGTGTGTGATGCAGTGGTCGGTTTGTGCGTCGACTCTCTAAGGGTCGGGCTTGGATTATTCTTGATTGTCTCCTGGCTTCTCTGGGCAAGCTTATAGACTTATAGATGTTGCTGCTGGATTGGTGAACATGTATTTTGTGTTTGGTTTTCTCTGGTGCCGTTCGCAGCATGCCTCTGGATATGCACACGGCAGAGGTCAGTCATCGTGTCAAGTTAGATGCCAATCGGCACACGGCCGACTCGGCGGCGGAGGTGGCCAGTGCATGGTCACGCAAGGACTTTCTGCAGGCATTTGTAAAGTTGCGCGCAATGGGTGCCTGCTCTCGCCGCAAGCTCGCTGCCAAGCCCCTGTCTCTGCTACTGGGAAGGGACGAGGAACCTCTCAGAGCGTTCGTCGATGTCGCCAATCGTTGGGTTGAATACGTTGGGATGGAGGAGTCGGCGCCTATAGTGCCTGCTGCGGAGCTGGTTTGGTTGTTTGAGCACTTGCCTCGTTTGCCGCCTGAAATTTTACGTAACGTTCCGATCACTAGTGATGAGTTAACTTCGCCCGCTCTCATGGAGTCCGTTTTTGTTCGTTCGAAGGCGTCTGCCGTTGGCCCCGACGGGATCCCAGGTCGTGTCGTTCTGCTTTTCGCGAGCGAATTTGCAAAGTCTATTGCTCGTACCTGTGAGCCGTTCCAGTAGAAAGGGGGTGTCTATTGGAGCGTCTTCAAGTCTGGCTCGGCCTCGCAGGTGGGGTGTCACAGGTCCATATCGGGCTCCTCGCAGCTAGGTAAAAAAGGCTCCGCACTATCACTAGGCAAGCAGTTGTGAAGTCTCTTGTTGGTTTTGCGGGAGAACGGCAGTATGGAGGTCTCCAAGGTCGTGACACAGAGTTCGGTGCAGTGGAGCTGCGCCTCTTTCAACAGTTTCCTGTCCCTCGCAACAGGTCCGTCCTCCCGATTTGCATGGATGTGGTCCAGGCGTATTATGAGTCCGTTCGGCAGCTCGTGATGCATTTCCCGTGTAATGATGTGTCGCTGGCTAAGTTGTTGTGTGTTTTTTTGTGGTCTCCCTCCGGAAGCTATGGCACAGTTGCAGCAGTATGTTTGTGACAACCCCGCCCTTGCTCGAGGTCAGTGGGGTCTCTCCTCTTCGGACAGCCCAGGTTGCGGATGCGGTTGATCCGTCAGGGTTCTACGTTCGAGACGCTACGTCGGTCGCGTTTCCCGAATTAGGCTCGAGCCCTGGGCAGCAATTTGGGATCTCGTGCTCAACTTGGTTATGGCGGCTACCATGGACCTCGTCAGAATTAAGCTGTTGCTGTTGGGTATCGCCCTCAGGGGTCCTACGCAAACATGCTACGCTAGCTACGTCTTGAGGGCAGGAAAGTCCGGATAGGACCTCTCATTATGTGGACGGTGTTTTTGTTGATGATGCAGTGCTTTTCGTTTTGGGCCAGGCCCAACAGTTTTCACGCTAGCGCCGTGATTCGTTGCTGAAGTGCCAGATACGTTTATAGTGCGAGGATTTCGCCTCAGCACGAAGGCGGGCAAGACAGCTTTAATATTTCAATGTCTTGACTCCTGGTTCCCAGGCGGCCAAAAGAGGTTGTGGTGTGAACTCAGGGTTGACTTCTAGGGTCCTACGGAGTTTGCGGGGACTCTGGTGGTTCACGCGGTGCATCAGTATGTTCACTTGGAGGTACGCAGGATGACTATCGTTCCATCTTGAGCTTGCCCACCGATCCCACTGCTGCGCTGGAGCTCGGGAAGCTTTACGTTCGCGAGTCTTACGCCAGTCCGCCATCGAGCAGTTCACGGCGACTGTGCTGCTGGATTCGTTGGTGTGATCGGGGAAGCTGCTCCAGTCCAGGACGTGGAGGTATCTCACGGATGCTGAGGCTAGGGGTCTGGAAGACGAGGTGGTCATATTCTACCGGGCCATCATTAAGATGCCACGTCGTGATGCCACTGCTGCCGATGCTAAGGCTGTGCTCGCTGCTTTAGGTAAACCTCCCACGGCTGTTCTTCTCAGTGTTCATCGTCTTCGGCTTGTCGGCCATTTTCTGCACTCGGGTCCTCCGCGTATTCTTGCTTTTGCCGCTACATGCCGTCGGGGATGTCAGAGGTCATGGAATCACCCGGTCACTGCCGATCTCAGGTGGGTTCATTTGTTTCACCCAGTGTTCCATGAATTACCAGGTCCTGTTGATGATTTGGAGGCATGGGAGTCGCGCATCAAATTTTATGCTACCGGTTTGAAGGCTAACATTCGAGATACGTCGGTTTTCAATGTTCGGCATATTTTACGCGAGGGTCTGACGGCTTCTGCTGGAAAGGTCATGTTTCGTGTGATTCGTGATGCAGGAGTACCGTTTGCGATCAATGAGCCAGACAATCCTATTCGATTGGATGAACGTGAGTGTGCTAAGTCGTGGGTGTGTCCGTGCTGTGCAGTCTGTTTTGGCAAAATCGGGGTCTTCGGTCTCATATCCTTCGCGTGTATCACGCTCGGATTGGCTACATTCTTCGGGCCCTTTGGCCATTGTTAACCCGCAGCACGTGCTCCATGAATTTCAGCAATCGTTCGGCACTCGCTCATCACCTATCGTTTGGTTCACCCAAGTGCGCGGTCGGTTTTGTTTTGCTGAGTTGCTGCCAAGGGCGACGGCTCTTTTGGAGAGAGCGTGGATGAGCCTAATGCAGCTGAGTTTGTGCGTCGGCGTGCTCAGCTGAAGGCTGGTCAAAGTAGATGGGGAGTGTCTGTGCCAGCTCATCGTCAGGTGGGTGCCGTGTCGCAGGATGTCAGCGCAGTTCTGCAGCATCTATCTGACGCGGGTGCTAGGGATATCCCTTTGCCGTCCGATTACGCACTTATTCCAGAAGTTTGTTTAGCGGCGCTGGATGCGTTTGCTGCCCCCGCCGAGTCAAGACACCCAGAGCGTGATTCCCGTTTTTCTCTCCCCATTTCGTCCTGGAGATTTCGAGGGCATACCGAGCAGCGCGATTCCTTTGAGTATTCAGCAACCAACGTACTTTGCATTGCATTTTTTCAGTGTCAGTGCCCGTCGTCGGCCGGGGGATTTTCAGTGGCAGTTGGAACGACAGATCTCGGCATTCCCCGTCGAAGTCTTCATGCTCAGTATTGGTATTGCTATTGATGTGGCGCGTGGTGATCGGACGAGGGGGGAAGTCGATTCTTCACTGGGCTGACCATCTCCGCATGGGACGGGTTATCAACGCCTGAGGAGGGGGGGGGGGGCTTCCCTGTGAGACTCGGTCTGCGCCCGGGCGGCACGAGGGAGGCCCCCCCCTCTCTCAAGTCGTCTGAGTCTACCCGGGGAGCCCTGTGGGCTAGCACGCGTCAACGTGGGCATGCTGTTGCTCGCCCTGGTTCGTTCGCGCAGGCAGCACGCAGGCAACAGGCTGCTGTTCGCGCAGGCAGCGTGCGGCTGTTCGCCCCAGTTCGTTCGATGGCGGAGCAGCTGACAGCGGGGGCGGGGGCTTGGTCAGAGCGCCCAGCGCCCGCCTTGCGGGCCCCCACGGCCCCCGCCTCCTTCCGGCGGCCTCCGCTCCCGGCTCTGGCGGCTTCGCCCTGCAGCAGCGCCATCGCGCTCGATCCGCGCGCGCGTCGAGGTCTTGGGGCCGACCCCTCGGAGCACGGTCGGGCTCGACCTGTTCAGTTGCGGTTCGCATGGGTCATCTGAGAGACCGTTCGTTTGACACCTTTGGGGCGGGCACGTGTTCGCAAGGGAAAGGGGCCCGCCAGGTTCTCTTGGGCAAGAATGCTCAGGGTAAGATTAGGGCGGCCAGTTAGAAGTCGTACCCTCCAGGCATGTGTGCTTCTATCGCTTCCAGTACATGTGACAGTCTTTCGCAGTTACTTGAGCCTGGTGAAGGCACTGAGTCTTCCTGGGCTGGTGACATGCCCAGTGTTCTCGACAGTTTGCAAGAGGATTTGGATGCATCTCCCTCGGCACTGATGATCAGAAGTTTGATGTGGCGCCTGGTGTTGCCAGGCCTGGGCACAGCAGGCACCGTCCTCGTGATGACCCAGAGCGTGCTCGCTTCTTCGATTCGGATGAGGAGTCTGGAACCGACAGCCCCAGGGAGCAGGCTGACCAACGTGCGAGTCCTTTCCCGCGCCAGGACCAGGAAGTGGAGGCTCCCGGGGAGGAAGCCATTTTGGAACAGATCTTCGAGGAGCCCGACTGGGATGTCTTTTCTCCCCCCCTATTCCTTTCCTTTCCTTCCTCCCCCCGCCCGCTTCCCATCCCCCTCTCCGAGCATCAGCGGCAGCGCGCTGCTGCCAACGCAGAGGAGGCCCGCCGTCGACGCGCCGCCCGCAGGGACGCTGAGGCGGCCTCGAGGAGAGCCCGTGCGTGCGTCTCTGGACTTTTTCCTTCAGCCCCGGTGGACTTTTTCTCTTCCTCCTCCTCCTCCTCCTCCTCCTCCTCCTCCTCCTCCTCCTCCTCCTCCCTTCCTCCGCCTCCTCCTCCTCTGCCTCCTGGTCCTCTCCCCGACTTCGATCCAGGTCGTCGTCGTGCTGGTACCCCCCCCCCGTGCGTGCGTCCCCGCTCCCGCCGAGCGCGCTGGTGCACTGATCGCCCCGGAGGCGCAGGCCCGGCGGTCGGTCGTGCTCGGCTGCTCTGCTCGCCTCGTCGTTTCATTGTTGCCGTGTTTGTGCAGCTCTCATCTTTCTAGCTGGTATAAGCGCTGATTTGTATTCGAGCTCCGCACGCGCGCGCAACGCGCCCCCGGCACTGCCGCAGTGCGTCCTGTACCAGTCTTGGGGGGGGGGGGCGTTTTTGTAGGCCCCCCCCGTACCCCCCCCCCACAACGCCCTTTATGGCCGAGAATTAAAAATGCGCTTATGTACCATCGCAGTGGCTTGGAAGAGCTGTCTTGCGGGTTTTTGTTTCTACCCTTGGCCTTCTGCCTCCCACGTGGGGACAGAGTAGGTGCAATTGGGGAACCGCGCCGCGTCGCCGATGCATCGCCGATGCGTCGGCGACGCGGTTCGATGCGGAGCCAGACATTCTCCACGCCAGCTTCGCCGACGCATCGCCCTTGCCGATGCGTCGACGATGCATTGGCGATGCATCCGCGATGCGGCGCGGTTCTCCGAACCCGTTTGCTGCTCCTCCTCCTCCTCCTCCTCCTCCTCCTCCTCCTCCTCCTCCTCCTCCTCCTCCTGCTCCTCCTCCTGCTCCTCCTCCGCCTCCTCGGCCCCATTTGCGAGCCTTCGATTTGCCAGCCACCGTCGGCATCCCGCGGCCATCGCGGGCCCCAGCCGGCAGGCGGAGGCCTCTGCGGAGGCGACTTTCGGAGGTTCTCGGCGGCTGTCGGCGTCGGCGGGTTGTCGTCGAAGTCGTCGAAGCTGCGGGCGGCGTCGTCGTCGCCGTCGTCGTCGTCGTCTTCGGGGCGGGCTGGCGCCTGCTTGGGGACGTCCTGGCGAGTTGTCGGGCCGTCTCCCTGGACATCCCACGATGCATGTTGTTTTCAATCCGCGGGCAGTTTTCAATCCGCGGGCATTCCCAAGGGGCCGTTGCTTCTTACCCCCCACTCTAATTGGGTTTTGTGTTTCCTCTGCACCCGACCCTTTCCGCGCAGGAAAACAGCCCTCACCCGCCCTCTCCTCCTCACCTCATTTCGCACTCACCATCACAGCACCATCACCTCACCATCATCGTCAGCATCACCATCCCATCATGACCATCAACCGCCATCTTCATAATCACGGCTACCCCCGCGTTCAACAAATGTCTTCATTACGTCCAGCTCTCGACAGGAACCCTGGAGCGGCCCCGTGTTAAGCTGCACGGGCCTCGGCAAGCCAGAGAGGAGCTCTCGGAAGATTCGTGGGGTTCATTATTGCGTTCTGGATGGTCGAGTAAGGGGCGAAGTTGTCCCCCTTCTTCTTTTGAGCGGTATGCGGAGCAGTTTCGTCCCAACGCTGCTGTTTTTCCGGATGAGGACTTCCAGCAACAACAACATGTCAGGTGTTCCCACGGTTTTGCGTCGTATGTATGACGGCCTGTTCCCTCACTACCGCAAACACACACACAAACGGTGAGCGAGACGTCACGGATAGGGGTGTCGTTCTTGCGCGATTCTGTTCAGCAGGTTCCGCCCCATGATGTTAGTTTGTCTGCGTCATCAATTGGTCTGATAGCGATGGTGGCTATGCAGACCAATAGTCATGTCTGCGAGGAGGCCAGCAGGGTCGCTTTGCGCAGCACATTCTGATGTGGTGTTGTTTTTGGTATGCTGGCTCTCCGCAGGGAGTTACCGAGTCGTCTCGTTGCCATCGGCCAGGCCCCCCGGATCGTTGACGAAAAACAGATGGAAGCCCTCTTGCCCTGCAGGAAACGAGCCAAACGGTGTTTGGGCGAATTTGTAGACAGTTTTCGGCTTGATCCCGTTTTGCAGCAAAGGCCGAAATATGACAGAAGGAGGGAAAACGAAAGCAGAGCGAAAACGCAACACACTGTTTAACTCGCGCCTGCTTCCGAGCGTTGGGTGCCTTCCTGCCTTCTCTATCGCGTCTCACGTCCTCACGTCTTCTTCATGTCTGGATCACGGTATGCCCTCGAAAGAGGTGTTTGCCGGGTGTCCTCGGAGATCCGCCCGGGCTCTGGAAGGAGGAATGACGAAGTGGGGAAGACGAGTTGGCAAGCCCAGAGGGGGGGAATGGTGGAAGTATGGGGAGGCCTGCGAGGAAGCGCAGGATGACCAGAAGTGGCTCTTGTCGGGCGTCTCGAGAAATCAGCCTTGTCTCTTGAAGGGGGGAGGACGAAGGGGGGAAGATGAGTTTGCAGAACCCGGGGGGGGGGCAGAAGCACGGGGAGGCCGCCCGGGGAGAGCAGAATCGAGTCGACGCATCGTGTGGCCGTCTCCTGCGAGGACTGTAGCACGGACGCGGACTGGGTGCAGCTCTGCAGAAAGCAGCGCGCGAACAGGTCCAGCGGCGACATGGCGAGCCTTGCGTCGAAGGCAACATCCCACCGGCAGAGGAAGATGAGTAGGGGGGTTGGGCAGATTGTCGATGACGGCGACCATGGTGAAACCCACATCTCGCGGAAAGTGACGTCCCGTTTCCGCCCAGCGAGGCGTGGATGCCCAGAACGGTCTGGCCGGCCTGTCCGCCCTGGCCGGCCTTCCAAGCAATAGGCTTGCGTCGCCATGGCGGAAAAAAGGGTCCCCATTGAAACTCGCCGAGAAGGGATGTCTTGTCGGAAGTGTTGGCGGCGCGCGCAGGGGGGTATGGGGGAGGAGGGCAGGCTTCTTAGAAGGAGGTAGCTTCTGAGAAGGCGTTGACACTACATCTGTAAAAGATGTCGCCGCCTTCCAAGAGACAGCCTCCTTCTAAAAAGCCTTTCCAGTTGTTTCCGCCCTTCTTCGAAGGCCAAAACAGCAGGTTCCCAGAGTCTGGCTTGACATCTTCTGGCAAGTTTGGTGTGTACGAAGGAGTCCCAGAATACAACCAGACACAGTGTGTCTTTGCATTCAAGAGGTACGCGTGGTGTTTTCGCTCAGTCGGAAACAGAAGCGCCGTTCGTGACAACGTCGGCCTCCCCCGTGTGGTTGGTTGTTGCAGGTCCTGAAGAGGATAGCCAACCACACGCCGAAACGCTGGAGACGGACTGGCCCAAGGGTGCCCGAAGCAGTGGGCAGACCCAGTCCTAGGCCAGAAAGGAAACCAAAGGAGGTTGCGCAGTCAATTGCTTCTTGGCGACCCTGGCGCAGCTTAGCCGTTGCCAGGCGAGCCTGGGGTGGGTGTACAAATAATGCTGTGTATGTTGCACTAGTATGGATATGTTTGGCGAATGATTTTCCTAATGTCAGAAGAAGAGGAGGGGTCTTGTGGCAAGCGGACGTGGAGGCTTTTCTTAGTTTTTGCCTTCCCTTGGGCCCACCAGCAGCCCCTGGTCTGTCAAATGCAGTCAACCCGCACAGTAAGGATGGGCGGTTATCTTAAGGGTACCCTTGCATTCTTGCCTCCTCGGTCATCCTTAGCCAGTTTGGCTGGCCCCGCTCCGCTCGAAAAGTTTCGAAACGGCCTTCCAAGGTCCTTGCACCCTCATCATTATGATACGGGTCGACTGTGAAAAAGCTGGTGTTGAGGAGAAACCGCAGGAGCCTTGACGCCTTGGGCTTCCCCCTCCGGCAAGCTGCCTCTCCCGAGTGCTTTGCCGATGTTCCCGTGTCCTGCGGCGGCCGCCGGGGGGCCAGAAAATGGTGAAGTATTTGCATGCCCCCGTCGTCCAGGACCAGCGTCGTGCATGCTGCGAGCGATGGGCTCGGTCAGTGAGTGTCCTTGTTGTTGTCGAGGAAAAATAAGAACGCCATGATCCGCAACTTTCGCGCTCCGCGCGGATTTCTTGGATCCGCACTGCTCCCCCCCGGCGGCACCTCTGGCGCCGCCCCTGGCGCGCCGCGCGCCAGGGAGGGGGGCCCAGCGCAGATCCAAGAAATCCGCGCGAAGCGCAACAACTTCATGCTTATGCCACAGTTTTTCTCTGTCTAGGTTGGCTGGTGATTTGTGTCGCACGGTGCTCCCCGCAGTGCATTGTCAGATGATGCTGCAGTGAGAACATAGCGCGTCGCCCAGACGTGGTGGACTCAGTATTGCCGTGCGCGTTGCTCCGTGGATCCGCCCGCTCGACTTGGACTCGTGCAAGCCACCGTGTAGAGTTGACAGGGTTCGACTGATTCCGGCAATCGTCGCAGACAAAGACAAACACATTTCGTTGCGATGGACATGGGTACGGAAAGAATGGGTACGAAGACCAACAGCAGCAACAGCAGTTCTTGTCTCTGTATTGCAGGGTTCGTTGTCGGCGTCGCCGCGGACTTTGCCCATTTGAGGCAGCAAGCCGCGTGCCCAACAGCGGTCGGAGTCCGATTCGGATTACACGTTTTTTTGTACCCGTCTCGGGCGTCCAAAACACGTCTCCATGTTCCGATGGCCAGGTGACGTCACCGCAGTAAGTGCGAGAATGGGGTGCAGACCAGCGTGCAAACGAGACCAGGCTTCGCAGCTGGGGGGAAGGTATCGAGCCGTGCGGAGAGGAGGAAACGCCCGACACTTGGTGGCGGCGGCCGAGGCCAACGACTGCGATGTGCAGGGACGCTCTTCTCCAGCGCGGGAGGGTGCCTAGGCCCAGGCGCCGAGAGATTCAGGGTGCACAGGAGAAGAAGAGCGGCCGGCCCGATTCCATTGGACCTCGGGGGCCGCGAGGGCCCCGCGGAAGTTGCACGTGCCCGAGTCGTCCCGCACGCACGCTGTTTGCGTCGGCGGCGGCGCAGATTGGCTTCACCGGCGATAGAGCTAAGCAGGGGCACCGAGAAGCGAATTGGCCAGCATGCAGGAGAAGGAAGAGGACGGACAGGGCGGCCTCGGAGGGGAGAAGAGACGGGGCCACACACACACACACACGCACGCACGCACGCACGCAGATACGCACACACACACACACACACACACACACACACACACACACACACACACACACACACACACACGCACGCACGCACGCACGCACGCACGCACGCACGCACGCACGCACGCACGCACGCACGCACGCACGCACGCACGCACGCACGCACGCACGCACGCACGCACGCACGCACGCACGCACGCACGCACGCACACACACACACACACACACACACACACACACGAATATGGTATCCGAGCGACGGCGAGAGCCCTCTCGGAGGTTGGCGCCAACAACCCGGCGCAGATCACCCCCGCGATGATGGACCAGTCCGCTCCTAGCGGCGACACCGACAAGTACACTTGGCGGCAGACGGAGGACCGCTCGCCCCCAGGGCCGGGACTTCTCCGGAGCCATCGCATGGGGGAGCGGTCTTCGGGAGCCTCGGCAGGCGGTGGGCGTGGGTCTTCCAGCCCTTCTGCGACCAGAAGATGTCCCTCTCCCCCGTTGTATGGGGGGCGGCAAAGAGGGGTTTGATGACTAGGGGGGGGTGGATCTCATGGCGGGGGCCATGATATTTCTTCAGATTTCATGGCGCCTCTTCTTACTCCGGTACGTCCCTGGCCCCCCCGCTGGGCCGCGCACATGCTGCCGGTCATGATTTGCACCCCCTTCCTCTTGGACACCCCTCTCTTTGCCGCTCCCCTGTTGTAGACGGTCGCAGGACGTCGCCTCTCCGAGGCGGTGGAAGTGGACAAATCTGTTTTCGAAGAAGAGGAAGCAGAAGGGGCGTAGACGCTGATTTTCCTTGGTCGATGCTGGGGCCACCCCCTGGCGGGGCCTCTGGCATGCCTCTGGCTGGCGCTGGGACCTCCCCCCATGGGCGGCGCCTCCGCGCGCCAGGGGGGTGGGGGGGCGAAGCACAGATCCAAGAGATCCGCCCAGACCGCCGGCTGTTCATGTTTATTGGGCTGGCCTCCGGCCAGTGCCGCCGATCCAGGGGGGGTGAGAGCGAGATTCCAAGGATCCCGGGCCCTCTTCCATTGTCCAGGGGGCCTCTGGGGCCTTTCTTGGCTTCCTCTGGGGCTGTCGTGGGCGGTCGGGGCTCCGGAAGTGTAGTTTTCTATACCCCCCTGTCCCCGGGTACCGAGAAACGTCGGAAATGACGTCGGAAATGAGCGAAGTTTGAGCGAGCTCAAGTCCACGCTCTCAGAAACTCACACGCCGGATCGGCGGATTTCACATTGTTTCTTTTTTGATTGGCGGCGCTGGCTCGAATACCACAGCGTGTGGGATCATGGGTTCCGAGGCATCGTTTCGGGTGCGTTTCGGGGCCTCGGGCTTGCTCGAGACTTTTCTCAAGGTCTCACGCGTCCGACGGCCAGCTCGCGCTTTGTGTTGCAACCGACGCATAACTGGGCTTTGGTCTTATATGTTTCGTTCGATCGCACATGGTCTAAGTGCGCACAGTCGTACGTGCCCTCCCCCTATCCATTTATCCATCCGTTTGCTCCCTAGGACGAAGTCGAGGTGACCTTCAAGAAGGAGGGCCTTCAGAAGGGAGACAAGAAAGTTGTCAAGGTTATCTTCGCAAGAGAGAGGCTAAAGGTAGAGGCGCGCATGCTCGAACAGAAGGGTCGGTTGTGCCTGGACGGATAGGCTGCTAAGGGAAGCTCACATTTCCCACGATTGCTAGTTCGGTTCGTTGGTATGAGCTGACCTGGCTGATTACTTCTCTGTGACACGAAGAGGAGAGGCCACCATAGTCACATCGGGCAACGAGCAGATAACTATGTGGAAACGAAAGAACCTCACGGTGGTCCAGCTGTATCACCTTTTGTCTGGTCGGATGTGCCTGCCCCCCTCCCCTCCCTCTTCCTCGGCCCACCTCTTCCCAGCTCATCCCCCTCCACTCCCACCTCGTCCTCAGACACCACGTTGAAAGTCTTCGGAGATCCTCCGAAGCTTGCGGGGATCCCCAGGAAGCTTCCGCCTCCCGAAAGGCTCCGCGGGAGCCGACGGAGGTCCTCAGAGGGAGGGGGTCGCAGCAACCCACGGGGGAAGGGGAAGACGAAGAAGATGTCCCCAGTTCGTCGTCGTCGTCGCCACCAGGCTGCAGCCACCTTGAAGGCGAAACAAGTGTTTGATATATTCCTGCCCGATATTCCCTTCCCTGCCCGAATTATTCGCATTGCGGCCCGCGGACCCACTTTCCAGTCACACCCACGGACAGTGTGAGTAAGTCTGCCCAGCTTCTTCACTCGGATGGTTGACCGTGTGTACGGCATGGCTTGGGCCCGCAAGGAACGGCTCTGTTAAATTGTACCCCTCCGCTGGACTTGTTATTGACAGGCCAAAGGCGACGTCCTTATCGATTCGAAGTTGCACGCTCCGACCAACGTTGACGAGTGCACCTGGACGCTGAGTGACGGCGTGCTTCAGGCGACTCGGCAGGGGGGCGGCACAATCACGGTGCGTTTTCTGATGACGTGACCACCGCTAGTGGATCGCGCATACAAGCGAGCTATTATTCACACAAGCGCGAAGCCAATGTTGATTATCTGTTCTGAGCGCGCATACGTTTGCAAATACTGTGTACGAGTAGCCAATGCGTGGGTGAGTACGACAGCGATAGCGAGCACGCAAGAGCAGTGCTCATAGCGAATCCTACGTTGGAGTCGAGGAAGCGCCTGAGGGCGATGTCCAAGCGTTCACCAGTTATGCGACAATCACCACCAATCGAATGACGAATTCCAAAGAGGTAAGTCACCACCGACCAAACCGCCCGAACCCAACCCGAAGGCCCCAATTTGCCCTCCATTTCCAGGGTGGGGGGAGGGCGAGCTGACACAACTCACGTGGAACCCGTACCCCCCCCCCAACCCGAATTTTGGGTCGTCGGATTGGGTTGTGTTTGTCTGGTGGGTAGTCGGTAAGGTTTTTGCTGTCATTGCTGAGGGTATTAGTAGCACCGCTTCGTAGTACCAGCTTGTCGTAGCACCGCTTAGTAGCAACAGAACACGAATAGTGTGATTACTGCTACGCTGGCCAGCTCCATCATTACTACGACGGCGATTCCGACTGGTGTATAAGTGTCAGTCCGCATCAAGTCTGTGTTGCTACCTGCTTTTGGCGCGCCACCTTTTTTCATGACTCCCGTTGGTTGAATAATGTGCCAATAGTAGGGTACTGTTGTTCCTATTTCCACGCTTACAGTTGTTTACAGTGCCATTGCGTTCGGCCTGCTGCGTTATGACAATTGTGATGGTATTGCTAATTCCGCTATTGTTTCTATTGTTAGGCTTCGGCGTGTTATCGTCTTGTATTTCTGCACGTGGGCGTCCGCGCCGCGCAGGGATCTCGTCCCAGGGGATCTGTTAGTCGCGGGGCTGTGCAAAGGCGTGTGCTTTGTGCTTCCCCCTCAACCTGCAGCTGGTAGATCTGCGCACGAATTCTATTTCGGCGGCCTTCCACGCGCCCTCCCGGTGCGCGTGCCGATCCGTTTCTTGTTATGCATATTATGTTTGTTTGCTCAACGACGTTGCCATCTTGCCTCGTCTACCACTGCTTGTACGCTCGCGCGTTGGACGAATGCTTGCATGTGCAAGTTGAGGTACGTGGTCATGTCTGGTCCGTCTCGGACAAGCCATGGCTTTCTTTGTTCTGGTCCGTATGATGGGTCACTCCTTGTTCGAAGTGTACGTCCGAGTACACTAGCATGTGCACTCGCGCCAATATGTTCCAGTCCGCTGCAGATTAGGAGAAAAATGCAGATGCAAGTAGGCACATGTTTCTATATTTAAGTATACACATACCCAATCATTGATGTACATATATGCATACAAACATGTATCTACACGCGTACAGGAGTGGGCCGACAGGGGGGTGTGAGGGGGCGGGCCGTTGCCAAAGGTTGGCATGGGGGGGCCTTGGACGGCTCCGAGGGCTCCCTGACGGCTCCAGACTGCCTCCCAGACGAGCCTCGACATGCCAGAAGGGCTCTAAAGAGGGCCTAGAAGGTTTTTCTATGACAGCCAGCAGCAGAGTCGGTGGTCTCTATCTCCAAGAGGGCCCAAAGACGGTTCAAGAGGGCCCCTAAAATGGCCCAAGAGGCGCCAAAGATCGCCCAAGAGGGCTCCAAGACGGCCCCATGGGGGGCCCAAGAGGGGGAACACGAACCGGCAATTCGAGCCTTCCGCCCCAAGACGCCCCCAGGAGGCCCCAAGAGGCCCCCACGAGAGCCCAAGAGGCACCGTAGAGGCCCCACGAGGTCTCGAAGAGTCCCAAAAAGAGGTCCCAAGGAATCCCTTCACCTCCCCTTCTCCTCCCTCTTCCTCCGGCTACATCCAGCCGCGGCGAATAAATGAGCCCCCGAAGTGTTCCGTGGGCCTGTCTTGGGCCGCCGCGGGTGGACCGTAGGAAATATTGAAAGCCATTTGGGCCGTCTTCATGGTTCTTGAAAGCTCCTAAGAAGAAGTACCATGCAATGGAGATACACAAGAATTCGACCATCCAGCCTAGCTAGACCTTGAGTGCGCGCGAAGCGCGCGCGAGGGTCATAGTAGATATAGGGTACGTAGCACCCCGCAATTGCGGATAAGAGTGAGGGGGCGGGCGCGGGCGACGCGGGCGTCGTCGAGCCGGCGGACCTCGTGGCCCCCACCTTCCCTGTCGATGGCGCTCTCCTCCTCCTCCTCCTCCTCCTCCTCCTCCTCTCTCCTCCTCGTCCTTCTTCCTCGTCCTCGTCCTCATCGTCATCGTCATCGTCATCCTCCTCCTCCACCTCGTCCTCCTCCTCTCTTCTTCCTCGTCCTCCCTCTCCCCCCTCGTCCTTTCATCATCGTCCTCCCATTGTCGTCCTCCCCCCCGGCCTCCATCATCGTCCTCCCATTCGTCTCATCATCATCCCCCTCCTCCTCCTCGTCCTCCTCCTCCCCCTCCTCCCCCTCCTCATCCTCCTGCTCCTCCTCCTTTTCTTTCTCCACATTCTCCGTACATCCTCCTTTCTTCCGCGTTCTCGTCGTCCCCTGTTTACTCCTCCTGCCTCCCCCTCCTTTCCCAAGATAACTGCAACGCAATCCTTGTTTCCACTTTATGCTCCCCGACCTTCTCTGATCAAGGCAACTCGCCAGGGCAAAGTTGCTGGACGGGCTGGTGTGGATGCGCGGGGCTTGAAGAGGTCCTTGCGGGCTCAGACGGCATGCAAAAATCCGCCGCCGCGCTTGTGCGGCATTGGTTTGTTCAGTGAACGTGGTTTGGGTCGCGGGTGGGTCGCGGGCTCTCCACCTCCACCTGAAAGGAATGCAAAAGCAGCCCGCCGCAGGCGCCCAAACATTGGTTTGTACACTGAACGTGGTTTGGGTCGCGGGTGGGCCGCGGGTACGAATGCAAAAGATGCCCGCCGCAGGCGCCGAAAAATGTGGTTTGTACCCTGAACGTGGTCGCGGGTGGGCCGCGGGCTCTCCACCTGAAACGAATGCAAAAGATGCCCGCCGCAGGCGCCGAAAAATGTGGTTTGTACCCTGAACGTGGTTTGGGTCGCGGGTTGGTCGCGAGTTGGTCACGGGGTGGGTCGCGGGCTCCCCACGTGGAAGGAATGCAAAAAACCCGCCGCAGGCGCCGAAAATGGTGGTTTGTACCTTGAACGTGGTTTGGGTCGAAGGTGGGTCGCGGGTGGGTCGCGGGGTAGGTCGCGGGTGGGTCGCGGGTGGGTCGCGGGTGGGTCGCGGGTGGGTCGCGGGTGGGTCGCGGGGTGGGCCGCGGGGGGGTCGCGGGGTGGGTCGCGGGTGGGTCGCGGGGTGGGTCGCGGGGTGGGTCGCGGGGTCGCGGTCGCGGGGTGGGTCGCGGGGTGGGTCGCGGGTGGGTCGCGGGTGGGTCGCGGGTGGGTCGCGGGGTGGGTCGCGGGGTGGGTCGCGGGTGTGTCGCGGGGCGGGTTGCGGGGGGGACGACGACAACAAACAACAACAACAAACAACAACAAACAACAACAACGATAATCCGCACCGCGGAATTCCATTTCAGCCACGCACCCGGGGACAGTGAATGACCGTTCGGCCCTCTTCACTCTGACGAAGTGTATTGGGTGACATGGGGTACAACGCGTCATTGTATATTCTGCTTGTAGAAGCGAGGTAATTTCGCTACCCGTAGATATGTGTGTCTACATGTTTCGCCCCCTGCATGGACAGGATCTTAAGTGGCACGTTCGCCTTTGTTTTTGCACAAGGGCGCGGTTAAGAACAGGAGGAGGAGGCGGCCGACTAGATTCCCTACCAGACACCAGAAGCCCCACAAGGGCCAGAACACAAAACACGCAACACTTACACGCCACACGTAGAAACGCACGCGCACACATTGACGCATACACACGCACGCACACGCAGACAGCCGAATACGCCCGCCCATGCGCAAAACGCAACGCGCACGCGCACGCGCAACACACGCACGCATTCACCCAATCCTGCGCACACCCACACGCAGCGATCAGCACGCAGCGCGCAGCACAGCACACCGCACGGCACACACGCAACACGCACAGCATGCGCAGCACATGGAAATGGTTGTAACAAGTGCGTGGGTCTGTGTTGTCCGTTCTTTGTCTCCGCCGCGAGCCATGGCCAGAGTCCCACAACATTTGTGGACACCATCGGCGTTTGCAGGGCTTGTCCCGTCAGGTGTTGCCGATACTTCGACATGTATGGATTGGGTACCGATGCATGTTTTGGCCAGCCGTGGTGGTTTGCCAAGACGAGTGTGTTTCAGCCTTTCTTGCCCGTCTCCGCCTCCCCGTTTTTTTTCTGTATGCTCTGTGGTGTATCAAAGTGTGTGTGTGTGTGTGTGTGTGTGTGTGCGTTTGTGCGTGCATGCATGTTCTTGACGTTTCGTGCGTTGTCTGCATGGCCTGCCTTGTGGAACGCATTACTCTGAGCTCTTACTTGGAAAAGATCATCATTGGAGTCCTTTGGAGAGCGTTACAAACGGATTATATTGGAAGACCTCACACCAGGATTTGTTGGATTGGAAGACCTCGCAACCGGATTTTTTGGGTAACACGTTTCAAATGGATTTCTGAGAAGACATCACGCCAGGAATCCTTTCGAAACCGTCCCAAAGGGATTCTGAAGACACGCGTCACAACGAAGATCTTTCGGCAAACATTCCAAAAGACATCCATTGGACAGCCTCACGTCATCACATCAGGATTTCCTGTGGGGAACACTCTACTAAAGAGTTCACCTGGACGACCTTGGAGGAGGAACCTGATGGATAGCGCTACAAATGAATTTGACTGGAAAGCCTCATCGCTGTAGTCTTCTGGAACGCGCTCCATAGGCAAGCTGTTGGAAAGCACTACCACGGAAACCCTCGTTGGAACATTCTCCAATGTCATTATTTTGGAAAGATTCAGCATTGGAAGCAATCCGCAGAGTCTCTATTGCAAGGCCTCTCGAACATAATGTCTCCTCCTCTTCCTCCTCCTCCTGGTCCTCGGCTTCGTGATCATAACTTTCCTACTCTCCAGGAGGAGTGAGAGGAGTTAGAGGAGGAGTGAGGAAGAGGAGGAGGAATTGGAGGAGGAGGAGGAGGAGGAGAAACAGGAGGAGGAGAAGTGAGGGGGAGGCGGAGGAGGAGGAAGCGGGGGAGGAGGAGGATGGCGCTGGAGCGCAACAACAACAACAACAACAAGGAGCAACCAATAAGGAACAACGACACTCAAGTGCTTGCGGCAGAAGCGCTTTATCACACCCATTGGAACAAAAACCAACACCACCTAGGATGGCTGACCACGTACGTAAACATCTACATATACACCATATGTGCTGCTCATACTTCATACTGGTATGACACCTACATACACACAGCCCTTCAGGTGACCCTGGCGAAGGCCGAGTCCAACAGCTGGGCTGAGCTCACACGCGGCTGAGGGCTGCGGAGTGGCAGACTCCCGTCAGGGGGCGACGTCCGGGTACGCACCGTGCCGCAGGGTTGCGTGATGCGTTCTGCAGTCAAGACGCTGCCATGGGACCACTTCGGGCTCTGGCGGGGCTCTGGCTTCGGGCCTTCCCCCAGATCCAGTTCGGGGAGCCTCCTCGTGGCCGAGGGGCGCCGTGGCCATAGAAGCCCGCTCGTTCCTATTTTGGCGCTCCTGGTGCAGCACGATGACTGCATCATGTGGCTCGCCATGAAGGAGAGGGCCTCTTCCTCCTCCTCGTCCTCCTCCCCCCCCTCCTCGTCTTGCTCCTCTTGCTCCTCTTCCCCGAGCCTGAGGGAGGCGGGTTCGACCATACTCCGCGAAACTTTCAGCAAGTGATCCGCCGCCCCCTCTGCTTCCTCCTCCTCCGCCTCCTCCTCCTCTTCCACTGCGCCGACATTGGCGCTTAAGCTGCCCGCGTAAGGTCACGCGTAAGCGCCTTCGTCTCCAATGGCGTGCCGCGCCGGCGGCCCGCGCAAGCCGCCGCGTTCAGGCGGTTTCCCGCATCAGACAGGTTGTCATCCAGAGTCATTTTGTTGACGGTTCCAGGGTCGTCTCCAGAGCCCCAGAAACCAGGACACGCCTCTTTCGTGCGAACAATTGTTCTCCTTCTGCGCTCATGGTGGGCAGTTCGTCCCTTCTTCCCTTGGAGGTCCGTTCGCAACTCGCAGCCCCAGTTCTCAGTCCATGGTGGGTATATCCCAGCTCGCCCTTCATGGTCCCCTCCTCCAGCTCCTTCCTTTCCTCCTTCCATGGAGGCCACCGGGGAGCTCTCTGTGGAGGCTCCGGAGGCCTCCATTAAGGATTTCGAGGCTCCAGCAAAAGGGCACATCATAACCTCGAAGGCGGCAGAAGCCCCCACAGCGTCGGTGTTGGGCGCGCCAAGCTAGGTGCGCTCGTGTAATATCTGACATGCGACACCTCCCACCCGTCCCCTTCCATTGCGTTTTTACCTAACAGCGAAGACTGATAGGTTTCTAGTGGTCTTAAAAGAGAGCAGCACATTACTCCACAGGGGGGTCTGGGCAGCCGTTGGGGAGCCGTTGGGGGGCCGTTGGGGGGCCGTTGGGGATTGCCGGGGAACCTCGTTTTTCGCAAACAGTCACACACTTCGTGCTCTTCGACCTCCCAGAACTCCATTCTTCGACCTCCCAGAACTCCATTCCCGGGCCACATTATGAATGCCCGGAGCCAACTGTAGGCCACTTCGTGGTCTTCGAGTCCCCAGAACTCCATTCCCGGGCCACATTTTGAATGCCCCGAGCCAACTGTAGGCCACTTCGTGGTCTTCGAGTTCCCAGAACTCCATTCCCGGGCCACATTTTGGATGCCCGGAGCCAACTGTAGGCCACTTCGTGGTCTTCGAGTTCCCAGAACTCCATTCCCGGGCCACATTTTGGATGCCCGGAGCCAACTGTAGGCCACTTCGTGCTCTTGGACTTCCCAGAACTCCATTCCTGGGTATGATTTTGAATGCCCGGAGCAAACTGTAGGCCACTTCGTGTTCTTCGAGTTCCCAGAATTCCATTCCCTGGCCACATTTTGAATGCTGAGGCAGGCTGATGCTGAGGCTGAGGCAGGCTGAGGCTGAGGCCGAAGCTGAAGGCAGACTGAGGCTGAGGCTGAGGCTGAGGCTGAAGCAGGCTGAGGCTGATGCAGGCTGAGGCTGAGGCAGGCTGAGGCTGAGGCTGAGGCTGATGCAGGCTGAGGCTGAGGCAGGCTGAGACTGAAGCAGAGGCTGAAGGCAGATTGAGGCTGAGGCTGAAGCAGGCCGAGGCTGAGGCTGAGGCTGAGGCAGGCTGAGGCTGAGGCTGAGGCAGGCTGATGCTGAGGCAGGATGAGGCTGAGGCAGGCTGAGGCTGAGGCTGCGGCTGATGCAGGCTGAGGCTGAGGCAGGCTGAGGCGGAGGCCGAGGCTGAAGGCAGACTGAGGCTGAGGCTGAAGCAGGCTGAGGCTGAGGCAGGCTGAGGCTGAGGCTGAGGCTGAGGCAGGCTGAGGCTGAGGCAGACTGAGGCTGAGGCTGATGCAGGCTGAGGCAGAGGCAGGCTGAGACTGAAGCCGAGGCTGAAGGCAGATTGAGGCTGAGGCTGAAGCAGGCTGAGGCTGAGGCAGAGGCAGGCTGAGGCTGAGGCTGAGGCAGGCTGATGCTGAGGCAGGCTGAGGCTGAGGCTGAGGATGATGCAGGCTGAGGCTGAGGCAGGCTGAGGCTGAGGCCGAGGCTGAAGGCAGACTGATGCTGAGGCTGAAGCAGGCTGAGGCTGAGGCAGGCTGAGGCTGAGGCAGGCTGAGGCTGAGGCTGAGGCAGGCTGAGGCTGAGGCAGGCTGAGGCTGAGGCTGAGGCTGATGCAGGCTGAGGCTGAGGCAGGCTGAGGCTGAGGCCGAGGCTGAAGGCAGACTGTGGCTGAGGCTGAAGCAGGCTGAGGCTGAGGCTGAGGCAGGCTGAGGCTGAGGCTGAGGCAGGCTGATGCTGAGGCAGGCTGAGGCTGAGGCTGAGGCTGATGCAGGCTGAGGCTGAGGCAGCCTGAGGCTGACGCCGAGGCTGAAGGCAGACTGAGGCTGAGGCTGAAGCAGGCTGAGGCTGAGGCTGAGGCAGGCTGAGGCTGAGGCAGGTCGAGGCTGAGGCTGAGGCAGGCTGAGGCTGAGGCAGGCTCAGCTGAGGCCGGCTGAGGCTGAGGCGAGGCTGAAGGCAGACGACCAGTGCTCGAAGCATGGCTGGGCTGAGCCTGAGGCAGGCTGAGGCTGAGGCTGAGGCAGGCTGATGCTTGAGGCAGGCTGAGGCTGAGGCTGAGGGCAGGCTGAGGCTGAGACGAGGGCCGAGGCCGAGGCTGAAGGGCAGGAGCTACTGGCAGGGTGAAGCGATGAGGCTGAGGCAGGCTGAGGCTGAGGCTGAGGCAGGCTGAGGCTGAGGCTGAGGCTGATGCAGGCTGAGGCTGAGGCAGGCCGAGGCTGAGGCCGAGGCTGAAGGCAGACTGAGGCTGAGGCTGAAGCAGGCTGAGGCTAAGGCTGATTTTTTGACATCAACAGCCACAGACCCCAACTCAATGAGGCAAAGCCAAAATTCAACAGACGATTGGCAGTCGTCTGAGGGCGCAAAACGGCGCAGGCCGCGCCACGGTCGGGGCCGTGCCCCCGTGGCGCGACCTAAGCGCGACCAGGGAGCGCTGGAGACCGTGCTCCGCGCTCCCTGGTCGGGGTAGGGGGCGCAGGAGCACGAGCTCCGCGCCAACCCTACCCACCACCCACTCCATGGGTGGCCGCGTTTTTCGGGCCCCGGGACCACGACACGACGCGACACGACGGGGGACGAAACGAACGACGCGACACGAACGACACGAGACGGGCGAGCGACACGACAAGGACGGGCCGCCGGCCCCGCCCCAGGGCGGCGAGCGCTGGGGGGGACCCAGCACCGCCCTGGGGAAGCACACGGGGCCTGGCGACCCCCCCGGGGGAAGGAAACCGCGCTTTGGCGGCGTCCCCCGGGGAGCGGGGGCTGTTCGCCCCTCGGGCCCAGCGCTCCCCGCCTGCGCCAGGGGGACCCTAGGGTCCCGACCCCTACCCTACGGGAGGGGCCCCCTCGGGGTAAGGCTAAGGCTGAGGCTGAGGCTGAGGCTGAGGCTGAGGCTGGCTGATGCTGAGGCAGGCTGAGGCTGAGGCTGAGGCTGAGGCAGGCTCAGGCTGAGGCAGGCTGAGGCTGAGGCCGAGGCTGCAGGCAGACTGAGGCTGATGCAGGAGCAGGCTGAGGCTGAGGCTGAAGCAGGCTGAAGCTGAGGCTGAGGCTGATGCTGAGGCAGGCTGAGGCTGAGGCTGAGGCTAATGCAGGCCACTGCGACTGTCATCGCGAATGCGACTACGACTGCGAGAACAGCAGAACTCTACAACTGAATTCTCATCTGAATCTTAAGGGGGATGCGTCCAGATATGCTCCTACACATCGCTGTTAGGTTGCTTTGCCGGGATAATTTGTTTCTCTATCCGCCGACGGGGGTCATTGCGGACGTGCAGCAGTAAAAAGGCCGTTATCGTGTTACGCGCAATCAAATACAGGGGAGTTGCGTGCATTGGAAGAGGAGGGTTTAGCGGATGAGCAAGATTGATGAGCAGGAGGCAAATTATGAGGAAAAGGCAGGCGGAGGCTGAGGAGGAACAGCAGCAGTAGCAGGAGCAGGTGCACGATGAGCGGGAGGAGCAAGAGGTCCAGGAGAGGGTGGAGAAGGGGAAAGGAGCGGGGCGACAACGACCAGGAAGGACTGGAATCCAGAATTCTTTACGCTTCGCGTATCCCCACCAGCCCATCTCACAGCAGCAACTCTTGCGAAGCATGCCGACAGTCGTGTTTTTCAGGCGTGTGTCCGCTTGGCCCCGCATATCTCCCCTGTTCCTCCTTCCTCCCGCCTCCTTGCACATCCTCCTTGTGGGGGGAGCGGGAGAAGGACGAGGCGGAGGAGGAGGCAGAGAAAGCGCTCCTCGTGGTTTGAGTCGTTTGGGGTTTCTCGTCCTGGTGTGAGTCGTTCGGGCCCTTCTTCCTGGTGTGAGTCGTTCGGGCTCTTCGTGGTGTGAGTCGTTCGGGCTCTTCGTCCTGGTGTGAGTCGTTCGGGCTTCTCGTGGTGTGAGTTGTTCGGGCCCCTCATCCTTGTGTGAATCGTTCGGGCCCCTCCTCCTGGTGTGACTCGTTCGGGCTCCTCGTGGTGTGAGTCGTTCGGGGCCCGCGTCGTGGTGTGAGTCGTTCGGGCTCCCTGTGGGGTTGAGTCGTTTCGTGCCGCCTCGTCCTGGTGTGAGTCGTTCGGGCCCCTCCTTGTGCGTGTGATCGTTCGGGCTCTTCGGTGTGAGTGCTTCGGGGCCCGCGTCCGGTGTGAGCGTTCGCGGCCTCCTCGTGGGGCTCTTGGGGGCCTCCTGGAGGCCTCTTAGGGGCTCTTGGGGGCCTCTTGGGGGCCTCTTGGGGGCCTTTTGGGGGCCTCTTGGGGGCCTCTTGGGGCCTCTTGGGGCCTCTTGGGGGCCTCTTGGGGGCTTCTTGGAACCTCTTGGGGGCCTCTTGGGGGCCTCTTGGAGGCCTCTTGGGAGCCTCCTGGGGGCCTCTTGGGGCCATCTTGGGGCCTCTTGCGACCTCCTCCGAAGCGCAGATGAGCGCTGCCCCCTGAGAAGGACAAAATGAGCCCAAAACCTTCGTAACATCAATGATTCTGCTATGAAGGAAGATGAGCGCGGCCCCCTCAGGAGGCCAAAATGGGGCCAAAACCATTGTAAAATCAATGATTTCTGCTTCAAAGACGAGCAGAGGGGCCAAACTGCGTCCCCCCGTCGGGGCCAGAATCCTCGTGAGGGTCGTCGTTTTTTGGCCCTCCGAGGAGTCGAAATGGACCCCCCTGACACCACTCGGGACTCCCTCTCCAGGTCCAGGGGGAGGGGGTAGGGGAGGGGTAAACCCCTCCCCGAAGGGGAAGAAGGGGGGTTGAGGACAGAGCGGGCTCTCTAAACCACTCACGCCCAAAGGGCTGGTGGGATTGTGGCCCGCGCTAGGATGAGAGCGCCATTCTGACCGTTGACAGCAAAGCATCTGTCCTAAAAGGAGGCCAATGTTGCGGCGGGCGCACTAGTTTGGAGCACCGAGAACGTCCCGATTGGAAGACGCTGTAAGGTAAAGCATCTCGAACAGTTCCACGCTTGGATACACCTGATTCTTCAGCAGACGGGACTATATACTGTATGCGTAGACAAACTAGAGAAGACGTTTGAACATGCAGTGTGGACGTGGGGCAGAGGAGAGTCGTAGTCATTTTGAGTGAGTGTAGAGTGCTCCGAGGGCCCGGTGGATACGCGGATCGTCCTCCCCTGGGCGCGTGCCCCCGCCTGCGAGGCGGAGGCGCGTGCACGGTGGTGGTCAGTCGGGCCCGCTGCGCTCCCCGGCGAGAGGGCGGAGCCGAGGACTCAGGCCTCCAACGCATTGAAAACGGCGCCCTCGTCTTCCACTGCGCGCGGAGTGCTCCGCGCGCCTGGGCGGATGCGCGGGTAGTCCTCCCCTTAGCGCGTGCCGTCGCCCGCGGGGTGGAGGCGCGTGCGCGGTGGTGGGCGGACGGGCCCGCTCCCTGGCGAGAAGGGCGGCGCGGTTGACCCAGGCCCCCAGCGCACGGAGCAGGGACCCTACTTTTCCGAGGCGTGCGTTCCACAAGGCAAGAGCGCGGACGGACCCGCTGCCTCGCAAGAGAGGGCGGCGCGGTGGACCCGGGCGTCCAGCGCATGGAGCAGGGCGCCCACTTTGCCGAGGCGGGGGTTTTCATAGGCCAAGAGATCGTTTCTTCATTTCCGAGGGATGGCAGGCGTCACCAGGTCGTGAGGTGGGGGCGGGGACGGCAACGTCACGTTTCTCGCCCGCGCTGGCGCCGTCTGGGACTAGGAACAACCACAGACAGTTCTGAGATCAGCACGGATCGTGACGTTACCAAGGGGGGCGGCCAGGACTGGTAACGACCGTTATCGCTCAAAAGAATGCCAATCGCGTATGTACGGCAGGTTCGCGTCGTGTGGACCCGCGGAGACCCCGCCGCGGGCGTTCAACGTTTGAACGCCACTGGCGACCCAGAATTTGCCGATGTTGCGCCACCTGACGTTTCGGGAACGGCCGATCGTTGAGGTGGAACGGCCCCCGCGAGGTCAGGAAGCAACGCCGCGGTCGGCACGACACGAACCTGTCGCACACATACGCGATTAGCTTATGCTGGCCTGTGTTTGGGCGCGGTCACTCGTGCAAGCGGGACCGCGGCGAGCGTGAACGTACAGTTTGATCTGGCACGCCCAGATTCATCCATCATCACCGCACTCGGGGATCCTTCTTCGGGGAACCCGGCAGGCGGTGGGTATAGATGCACGCGGCCTCACCAGGCGATGGTGTATGTGTGTGTGTGTATATATATATATGTATATCGGCATCAAGCTGATCAAGCCGACGAATCTTCGCCGCGATGTGGACGAAGTGCTGGACGAGCTCGATGGATGTCTGGGACAGCCTTCGTCTTCTGGTGCCCCCTCGTCGTCTCCTACCTCGGGCGGGCATCCTGGTGGCCCTAAACTACCAGGGGGAACTTCTACGATAACCTATGAGCAGGCTGCCGCCCGCTCCCGATAAGCTGGACAGACTCTTCCGGGTACTAGTGATATATATTTTTATATATATATATAAAACATATATATATATTTATATATATATATATACATATATATAAACACATACATACACACATATATGTATACGGACCCCAGGGGGGGCGGCAACTATATCCGTATCCACCGCCTGCCGCTTTCCCCGAATAGAGATCCCCCTGACGGTGGTGATGGATGAATCCCCGCCTCACACTTCTCACGATTGCCGCAGGCCTGGGTGAGCATGCAGCAAGGAGCACGTCCGATGCTCTCGGAGCGTCCTCTGTCGGCTGTAGCGTGGCAGTCCGCTTGGCGCCTCAGCAGGTGCCATGTGTCCTCTTCGGACACGAGGTCCCGCTTCGGCAGCGAGAATGGTGTCGAAGAAGAAAAACGTCATAAACAAAGTTTTGGCGCTCCGCGTGGATTTCTTGGATCCGCGCTGCGCCCCCCCGTCGGCGCCTCTGGCGCCGCCCCCGGCGCGCTCCGCGTGCCAGGGAGGGGGTCCAGCGCGGATCCAATAAATTCGCGCGGACCGTCGGCATTTCATGTTTATGTTGTGTTGCCTTCTTCTAGGCTGGGGTGTTCAGGATGTAGCCCTCCGCAGGTTCAACTCAGCATCGTCGCTGGTACATCCACGATCAAGAACCTGCCCAATTCAGCACAATCCCGCTTCATTCTGCTGAATTCCGATGAATCTGACTTCATCAGGCTCTCGCCGTCTAGGGCTAAAATATGGTTCCATCTGGTCTAAGTAATGGCCTCCTAGTCGGATCTCCTAGCTTTTCCCACTTTCTACGAAGGCCTCCTAAGAATTACAGTCGGGTCGCTGAAGAAGGAACCCTTTCGTTGGGGAGGGGCTCAGTGTTCCTTAATTGTCTCACAGTTTGTCTTAGGTTCTCCTTAGGCTCCCTATGGGACATCGAAGTGTGACTTATGGAAGAACGGGGCCTCGTCCATTATTTTGGGTTCCTTCGGACAGCTTTTCGGCTGTATCTCCTGAAGGTGGGGTGTGCCTGGCTTCCGCAGCGCATCAAACAAGCAGGAATGCGGGGGCTCTTCGCCGCTTCTGGTCTAGCGCGGGGCGGGCCTCACCAGCCCTGGAGCCGTCCAGAGATTACTCGGGACGAACTTCTCCGAGGTCTCCCAGCTGGGTCCGAGTACAGTTGGACCGAGGCACCAGATCGACGCCGACTTTGGGATAGTACCCTCATGTTCTTCGTGTTTGTTGGACATTATGTGCGTCTTGGGGGATTGTACTCTCGGATGTTCTGTGTGTTTTGGCCGGCGGGGTGTCTCGTGTTTTTGAGGGATGTTCTTGTGTCTTAGGTCCGACTGTATGTTCGAGGCCTCCCATATTGGGTCCGAGTTGATGGTTCGGAGGACCGCGCAGCATCGCGCAGCATCGCGCAGCATCGCGCAGCATCGGCGATGCGCTTCCATGTGGAGCCCGATGTTCTCCATGCCGACTTCACCGACGCATCGCCGACGTCTCGGCGATGTTTTGCCGGCCGATGCGGCGCGACCCTCCGACCCCATCTTTTCCGACCCCATGGACCATGGAGTCGGAGGATCACGCCGCATCGCCGAAGCAGCGCCGATGCGGCTCGATGTGTAGCCCGATTTTCTCCACGCCGACGCATCGCCGGTTCATCGCCGACTCCATCGCCGATGCATCGCCGATGCACCGCCGGCGATGCTCCGGCAATGCAGCGCGATCCTCCGACCATATCTACGCAGACACCATCTAGGAGGCCTATACATCTGGTCCTTTGGACTCTGTCGAGAGTTTCGGGCCCCAGGTATTGATCACATCGAAATGCAGGATAGGATGCGCTTGGGAACCCGTCGCGCTGCAGTGCCCTGGGCGATGATCATGTTGCAGTCGGTTCAAGGCTTTTCGTGGGCGTCGTCGTCGCCATTGAGTATCTGTGTTCGTTCTCTCCACTGTTTCCCCAGCGGCAGAAATCTAATGTTTGATGTAATCGGTTGAGCCTCTGGACGCCTCCGGAGACCTTCAGGGAGGAGAGCGATGAAGTCGAGGGAGTGCGGGTGTTCAGAGGGATGGGGCGCGGGCAGGCAGTAGATTTGCATGAAATGTGTCAGGGCCTGGCTGGTCCGACAACAGTTCCATTGCTCCAGGGCTCGCACACGGGCCCGTACCCATGATATCCGAAGTGCTCATTACTTGAGCCAGCTTGGCCTTCCCGCCACTTCCGTATCTTTTGTCAGCTTCTTCACCATGACAGAGGAAAGTTGAGGGATACAGAGGAGCAGGAGGATGAGGAGCGAGGAACGAGGAGG